TATGAACAGTGGAATCGAAGCAATGTGCCCAGAGCTGGAGGTTCTTTGTTCTCTTAGCTATTTCTTCGACGTTCTTGAAGCCGTTCCAAGCCGCTCTCTTCCTTCTGCGCAACTCAGGTGCCAGGTCATTTGTCATGTTGACTTCTCGACCTAGGTACACATAGCTGTTGCATTAGGAGATGGTCGTTCTGTTGAGAGTGAATGGAAAGTCAGGAACGAGACTATTTCTCATAAACATTGTCTTCGTGAGATTCAGCTGTAGTCCGAGCTTTTCATACTCACGGTCAAAGTCGGCCAGCATTTGTGCCGTTTGGCTAATGTTTGGTGTTATTAGAACGATGTCATCAGCAAAGTAGAGGTGGTGTAGTTGCCGAACCGTCTACCTTCACTCCCATTCCTTCCCATTCTTCACTCCCATTCCTTCCCATTCCAGTCGTCGCAAAATGTCCTAAATTATTACTGCAGTAACATGGCTTACAGGAGTGTTCATATTTATACATTATGTATGCAGTATGGATGTGCACACACACCAGAAAAGTGCCAATATCCTTTATAATCCCATCCCCCTGTGGATCAATGTGGTCTATTGAACAGGTCTCTTTCAATGGGTTCAAACTGCAGTGGTAGTTGAAAGCCACTGCGGCGAGCTGTTGTAGATAATCACATTCCTCTGTTAGGGACATATTAGATCTCCCACACTGAACTTTAGAGCCCCAAACTGTTCTTTTGATTTAGCAAGTGTGTGTGTGTGTGTGTGTGTGTGTGTGTGTGTGAATGCATGCATACCCCTTTTCACAACCTAAATGAGTGAATCCTGATTTTTCTCTGTCCAAATTGCCATTTCTCCTTTAGGTGCTTTCCTGTGTTTCAATCCCACTAATTTCTCTAAAGAAGAAATTTCAGGGGGCTGGGGTGGGGTGGAGAGATAGTACAGCTGGTAGGGTATTTGCCGTGCATGTGCGCGACCTGGATTTGATCCCCGGCACCCCAAAGGGTCCCTCAAGCACTGCCAGGAGCAATTCCTGAGTGCAGAGCCAGGAGTAACCCCTGAGAACTGCGGAGCGGGGCCCATCCCCCACCCCAGCCCCAGTCAAAAACGAAACCGGCTGCTGGAGGCATGAATGTGCCACACACTGCACTCATTCCAGAAGTATCTTCCTAGGGATTCACTGAATGCTATTAACATGAAGTAACAGCATCAAGACCCCACGAGGAGGGCCATCTACTGGACAGACTAAGGCTACTACGTGGTTGTCAGACAAAACCAGGCAATTTGCTGCTACATGGATGGAACTGGAGCGTCTTGTGCTGGAAGCTAATCAGGAGCAGGTCAGACACAGAAGCATCTCTCCTACGTGGGATATAAAAAAAACACAAGAGAGGGATAACAAATGCACAAAGACAATGGATTCTGAGAACGAGTCTAGGGAATTGAACATACCATGGTGGGGAATGGGGGGCGGGGGTGGGGAACACTGATGGTGAGTTGTGTACTGGAATGTTGTATGCATGAAATCCCATCATGAACATTGTTGTTAATTCCAGTGCCCTGAAAGCAAATTTCAAGAAGAGACAAATTGTGCCAGTGGTCCCAGGGGTTTTGGGGCCACCCCCACTCATCTGGGGCAGTAGCAGGAGTGTCTCAGGAGCTTGAGGGGACAAGGCGAGCTCTTCAAAAGGGCTACCCTGTAAATGGCTGCATCTGGTCTCTTAGTGCAAGTTCAGGGGATGTTCTGTGGCAGCCACTGGGAGAGAGGGGAAAGGCTTGAAATGCAGGCTGGCCAAGAATTGTCATATCTGCTACGTTAGGGGAAAAGGCAGCTCAGATAGAGAAGGGAGCACCAAATAAAGGGTGTTGGGAGGATCCTCCCAGGATGGGAGATGCGTGCCGAGAGTAGACTATAGATGGAACATGATT